CTCAGGCCGAGAGGACGGAGCCGAGGCTTCCCAGACCCTCCGCTTCCCCGTTGGAGAAAGAAAAGAGCCGAGCCTTGTGGCCGAGAGTTCCGCCGGTCCCTCCATCCCCGCGCCTGCACCCTAGCAAGGGGGGCTCGGAGGCCCCCTCCGCCACCGCCATCTTGGCACTGACGTGGAGGGAGAGGCGCTCTACGTCATCTGCCCGCGACGCCGCGGCAGGCGCGCGCGGGGGGATGACGCGCTAGAGGCTGGCGTCCGTTGCCGCGGCGACGAGGGAGGCTCAAGTTTCCCCCTCTGGGCGTCCGAGAGCAGGCGCAAGAGCTGCCGGGAGGGAGGCGGGCCGTCCGTTGGCGGGCGGAGCTCCTGTTGGCCTTTGGCGCTTGTCACTCAAAGCAGGGCGGAGCCGCCGAGGAAGGAAGGGAGAACTAGCAATTGTAATCATCATCATCATCATCATCATCATCATCATCATATAATGGGCCGGGATTCTGAGTTTCCTGAGGCTTAAGCAAGAGATTCTTGCAGAGAGGTCTCTCCTGCCCTCAAGGCCGCCTGGATCAGAGGCGCCTGATGGGTGTGTTGATTTCTTTTTGAACTACAACTCCCAGAATTCTCCCCGGGGAGCCTCGCAGAGGTGCCTGGGGGATTCTGGGAGTGGTAGTCAAAACCAAACAAAACCCACAAACAGGTTTCACAGCTGCCCAGCCTAAATACTGTAAACAAGGATGAGGCTATTGTGGCAGAACTGTTCATGCTCTCCTGCAGGCAGCCCTCTTTGTGCAAAAGCCCCCTCCTTCCTCCTGCTGACAATCCTACTTTTTATTCACCTCTTGAGACCCAGGAGAACATTCACATAAAGAGGGGAAAAAAATAAAATAAAATGACCCTACAGTATCCAAGAAAGGCCGTCGCATCCTCTTCAAATAAATTCCAGAATGGATGCTGCTGCAGCTTTTAAGAATTTGTTTGAGTTATTATCTGGTCTCCCCCCCAGGCTAGGCAGATTTGATTATCTGGTCTCCCATTTCAAAAACAAAGGCATTCTGACACAGGAAAAGAAATTAAGAAACAAGGTCCTTTAATTCCTTTGAAGTGCACGTACAAAACATTCAGCAAATATGTACACATTAGGGTGAGTTCAGGCATTAAGCTCTGATTTTCCCCCCCGGGGGAAGAAAAAGAATCCAGACATCAACTATTGAAACAGTTACATTCTGCATAACATTGTAATTAATGTAGAAGAGAAAGAAACTATATACAGTACCACAACATCATTCATTCCATTTAAAATAATTTACAGTACACAAAAGAACACAAGCAGTGTATGAATTTCCAAAGGAGACCTGGCTTCAGCAAGACTGAAGTGGGAATCCCACCGGTATTTGAGTGACTTTTTCTTTGCATAACTAGTCGCAGCTAATTGATGTGATTCCAGGACGTGTCTCCGTCATGCGCCTGGTCGCGCACTCAATTGTGCAACCGAGATGTGGCGAGCACACCCCGGCACCTCTGTAATTCACTGCAATTAACAATGGCAAGTTACTCAAGCAAGATACCAGTCATTCCATAAGCAAAAGCCAATCCAAACCTTTGTGCTTCGTGTCAGTGGAGAATGTATGCTTTTTAAAAAAATAGCATTAATTTAAAACTTGCTCTAAGACCCATGGTTGTCTCCATGTTCCCATGTTCTCGCCCAGCTGTTCATTTTGGCAGAGAGGAGCCTGCGCCTTGCACAAGTTTTCCTCATTGTGCAACTGAGTAAGGACAAATAATTTTGGTGTTTGAAACAAACAGCACCTTCTCCCTCCTCTCGTTCGACCTCCCCCCCAGGCATGGGCACAACATCCTCCCAAACAAATGGAAGAGGGGAAGTAGGAGACTGTGGCATAAACCCATGGAAGAAGCAATTTTATGTTGTGTTTTTTAAAAGAGAAAAGAATAGGGCTGGGAGGTATTGCTGGTTTGTTTCCTTAATCCTCACCACTAGGTTGTCCTCTCGCTTTCCTTGTCTGGTAAATTTACAAGGAGGTATTTCTAATTCTAGTAATTGATATAGTTCTTGTCCAATGAATAATGTGATTAATCCAGGCATGGGATGGCTCTTTCTCTGCATTTATTTTCTAGGCGAGAGGGAATGGCATTATCCTCAGAATTGCCCCAGTAAACAGTCTCCACAGAAAATTAAGGTGTGGGTCCAGTGGGAGCTGTGAAAATGAATCATGAGTAGATTCTAAACGAGTGGTCTTACATTCATGTTTATTCAAAGCTAATCTGAAAATTCTCCTTTTTTAAAAAAATACACCACAGCACCACATCATTGCTTGTGTGCAATTCAAGTTTGTAAAATAAAATAGCATCTGCAAAGTCTTTGCCAGGTTGCTTTTAATCCTAGTTAAACTGAATTTGCAGGAAAGTAGCAAATACTGTACCAAGTGCTTTCCTAGACAAAACCCAGTTGCTTTTGAAAACTGAATTTGCAGGAAAGTAGCAAATACCAAGTGCTTTCCTAGACAAAACCCGGTTGCTTTTGCTCAGTGTACAAGTTGATCAGAACAAAGTAACTCTTCCCTTAATTGGTTACAGAGAATCACCATCTCCCCTCAACCCCGCAATAATTCTTAATGTAACAACGGAATTGTCATTTATAGCATGTCTGCATTTGCAAGTAATTTTACCTGCCTGGTGGTGTTGCAACAAGAACAGCTGGAACTACATTGCATTATATTTAATTAATGCAATTGATGACACTGCTATTGTTTTTCAGCATTGACAAGTATTTCTCTGAATATGTCTACTTCATGTAACATTTAAATGTGATTTTATTCCATTCACCCAGGCAAATATTTCAGGTTCAAACACTTGTTGCATATTAGAACCCAAAGACAGAAGTAGAAACAAATCATCTCTTCCACGCTTGTCATTAACTAAATGCAAATAAACCATGCTAAATTGCACCACCCTTGATGGCATGGAGAACTTTTCTCATGCAAATGAAAATGTCCTGGTGCAAAGAAGCCTTAAAGGCTAAGAAAAACCACAGCACTGGGCTAGATGGCACTTCCGGCCTCTTGTTTGGCTTTCACACAGAAGCTGGATTCAATGGTTCGTCTGAAGGTTTCCCTGTCACTCACTGTGCGTTGTTCAATGCCTTTGAAAACGTTCACTCCTGCAAGCCAGTTGGCCTGGTGGAAACCTCAAAGCCAACCCTAATCCTTCCTGCTTTCACAGGCCAAAGCTGGCACCCAGCCCAAGACCCTTGAAAGCCACGGCGGGCTAAATCCGGAAGCTTCCGGCAACAACCACGAACAATTCCTCCCACAGAAAGGTATTCCTTTCCAGACTTGGAAACCAGAAAATGAAGTCATTGCTTTGACTTGAGCCATGGGAGCGTGCCAGACAAGCTGTATCCTGTATGCCCTGTGGCATACAACCCCTTCATACAATAGCGTCCTTACAGGATGCTCCTGTTCTGGGAGTCAAAAAGAAAACAGAAATATCATTTCCACACCAACATCACCCCAAGTCCTAAATTCACTTTTCCCTGAAATTATTCTCATGCACCTTCTCCTCCTCAACGGCGGGCGGTCGTTCTCTGTCAGGAACTCATTTTTGCAATTATTATAGGAAAAGAATCCTCACTGAGTCAAGGCCCTCCTATGGGGTTGCTCTGAGCATTATCAGAGTCAAGGCACTTTCCAGTGCTTATAAGCAATCAGGAAACTAACTGGCAATCGTCATAAATAATAAATTGTACCAGGTACAGTAGTCTTCACCTGCTATAAAAAACACAGGACCCCTGGCATCTGTCACCTCTCAAGAGTGGAGGAAAAGGTGAAATGAAAACATGAGAAGAGGTACATCAACTTTTTTTAAAAAAGTCTCCTTCACCAAGGAGAACACACCCACACATTCAAGTACATTTACCCCCCCCCCATTGTGATTTCAACAGTTTTTTAAAATCAGATCCTTCAGGGCAGGAAGGTTTGCCACAGGAAGGTTCTCCAGGTAGCTTTAATCTTAGAAAGGAGCTCCAAGGAATACAAGTAACAACAACATAGAGCCACTGCAAAAGGCCACCAGTGTTTCCTTACAAAAGTCTCAACCCTCAAAATACAGTGTTTTTTTTTTAACAAATTATATATCAGGCTTGTACAAAACTGTTATAAATACTGAAGGTATAACAAGAACTTCTCCCAGAGGTCTAGCAGCCATAAAATTCCCTTTAAGGGCTCAAAGAGTGCCCCCCCCCGTGAGGTGTCTTAAAATTAGCCAAGGAAAAAACACACACAAGGTTGGAACATGTCGTTCTGCTCTCCTCTTCATTCTGGGTCAGTAGGGAAGTGGATCAGTGGGAAGCAACGCCTCTGTTGAACCTGCGTGCTCTCCACATGACACAGAACGTCGGTCTTCCAGTGTCCTAAGTAGCAGACAGTCTCCGCGTTTAGAGAACGTTCTGGGCTTCAGAACGTCACCTTCCAAATGAAGAAGGCAACAGATGTTTTACAAGTGGCCAATGTGTGAGACAGAAGGCAGAAATGGGGCAGGAAGGTTTGCCACAGGAAGGTTCTCCAGGTAGCTTTAATCTTAGAAAGGAGCTCCAAGGAATACAAGTAACAACAACATAGAGCCACTGCAAAAGGCCACCAGTGTTTCCTTACAAAAGTCTCAACCCTCAAAATACAGTGTTTTTTTTTTAACAAATTATATATCAGGCTTGTACAAAACTGTTATAAATACTGAAGGTATAACAAGAACTTCTCCCAGAGGTCTAGCAGCCATAAAATTCCCTTTAAGGGCTCAAAGAGTGCCCCCCCCCGTGAGGTGTCTTAAAATTAGCCAAGGAAAAAACACACACAGGGTTGGAACATGCCGTTCTGCTCTCCTCTTCATTCTGGGTCAGTAAGGAAGTGGATCAGTGGGAAGCAATGCCTCTGTTGAACCTGCGTGCTCTCCACATGACACAGAACGCTGGTAGTAAACAGCCTCCACGTTTAGAGAACGTTTTGGGCTTCAGAACGTCACCTTCCAAATGAAGAAGGCAACAGATGTTTTACAAATGGCCAATGTGTGAGACAGAAGGCAGAAATGGCTTTGTATCCACAATCACACTGGAAACAAATCATAGCCCATGAGAAGGATCCATGCGGACAAACCCGTGTGTCTTCCAGGTTTACAAAGCTGATCTGAAACTTACTGAAGAATTGAGGGTTCCCCCCCATGGAGATGGATGTCCTGAACGCAGGCAGAAAGTTCGCTGCTCAAAAAAAGAAAGAAGAAACAACAACAGGAGAAATCAGCGTAGCTAATACTAGATCCGCTGATAACAGCTTCGGATTTTGGGCGCTGACTCGGTAATGGCCAAGAAATCACAAACCGCTGTTTGGAAACAATGGAAAGCTGGTGCATGCAAGATCTTTGCCCCCTTTCCCAAGGATGCTCAAGGAGAGCCAGGTAATGGGTTGGTGAAATACTCTCAAGAAGGCAGGCGACGTACATCTTCCACCCACCAGTCTTCACTTCCACCTGTAGAAATAAACTTTTCCTGCTCAGCCTGGGATTTTACTCCAAGATGTGGGGTTACCGCTGTGGCCAAACATGGTTCTACCACGCGGCTCAACCCTCTTGACACCTCCGGCTGCAGGAAAGCCTGGCCCTGCTGAGCAGGCGCAGGGTTTCCGGTGGGCAAGGCCCGACTAGGATTGGACATTCTCGATTGGACTTCCAGTGAAGTGATCATAAAGCAAAAGCAAGGCGTCAAAACGCTGGCACGTTTGAAGTGCTCTGGCCAAGATGGCGGTGGGGAGGGGCCTTCCTGAATCAGACAGGTAAGCCACGAGGTCTGTGAAGCTGGACATCTGGCTTAGCTGGTGGGACGGGACACCCAGTTCCATCCCCAAGTGGATGAAATTCTTGAGCCCTGGCAAAGATGGGTCCAACTGGAGAGCAAGAGACAGCACCAAAGAATCTGGGAGGCTGGCTATAGAGAGATCTGGTGAAGAGAAGAGAGGAAGAGACATTGAAGAGAGACGGCAAAACACACCAGGAGAAGCCCACGCCTCTGCCTCAGCAGGCCAAGGCCTTCGCTCACCTTGCACAACGTCACCAATCTTGGCCACAAGGCTCTGAACATCTTCGCCCTGCCAAGAAAAAGAACTGGTGTCACCCAGCAGGGCCACTGTGAGGGAACACACCTGGCAACGCTCACCATGAAGGCCTTGGAACTGCAGGGCGTCAGAAGGTGAACAGAGCCAGACCGGGACACCTGGAATCTGCAGGAGTGCCGGGAATGGTCCAGCAGAATTACCCCAAGAGGAACACAGAAGGCATGGCATTGCTGGCGAACCAAAAGAAGGAAGGAAGGAAGGCAGGCAGTGTGGAGGAGAAGGGGGAGTCTGCCAGCCTCAACATCTGGATGCAGTGACGGACCTTCCCAAATGTGGACAACTAAATGCAACAAAACACAGCGACTGCCACCCCAGAGCAGCCTGCAACTCAGATATTTTAGCTTCTGTTGAAGGAAGGAAGGAAGGAAGGAAGGCAGTGTGGAGGAGAAGGGAGAGTCTGCTGCCCTCAACCTCTGGATGCAGTGACGGACCTTCCCAAATGTGGACAACTAAATGCAACAAAACACAGCGACTGCCACCCCAGAGCAGCCTGCAACTCAGATATTTTAGCTTCTGTTGATACCTGAGCTTTACAGTTTGCACTGAGTGGGCAGGTTATCTCAGGGCCAATATTTAGACTAACATTTCTGCCATTTATACATGATCAGGCTTGCCGTGCATTGCTTGCTGTGAGCGGCTCTGATTTCAAATACGCTGTCAGGAAAATGGCAGGCAAATACATGTGCACACGCACACACCCTACACATGAAGCACCCAAACCAAAAAAATGCCCATCTCCTTCCTTCCCTTGGTGGTGGCTGCTCAGAGGCAGAGGAATGGAGCCCAGGAAAACTTACCAGCTGCTCCCCGCTTTCCACAGCCGGGTTTCGGAAAGACAGAAATGGTTCCTGAGCAGAGGCCGGCGGGAGTTTCTCTTGCCCTGTGGAGAAGACGGAGCAGGCAGGGCCCGCGGAGGCCACCACCTCCTCGCCTCTGAGCTGCCTCTGGGCAAACCCATTCCTGCCGGTGTCCACGAACTCCGTCTGCGTGGAGAACGTCTGCAGATCCAGTTCGGTGCATTCCACAGGGGTGTGAGGCCAGCGATGCTGCCTCTCCGTGGCACAGGAGGAGAGGGGAGCCGGGCTGCCAGGGTCTCCCGCAGGATCCTGCCTGGACTCGGCCAAGGAAGACCCTCCAGCTGAGCAGTCACTGCACCCAGAGTCTCTGATCAGGGGCTGGGCCTCGGTGAGATTGCCAGCGAGGGGCGCGGTGGAGCCAAGTGTGATCAAGTTGGAGAATTCCACGTCGGGTCGGTGGCAAGGAAGAGGAAGCCCAGAAACTTCAGCATTCGGGGTATACTGCACAGCTTCGTTGTAATCTAAAAATCGAGACAAAACAGGGGCCCTGCTGTCACAGGAGTAGGATTCTTTGCGTGGTGCAGTGTTTTGTGTTGTGGTTGGTTTTAGTACCACTGGACACGCCAGATTTGTAAAGTTTGTATGAAAGTTGTGGACCTTCTACCACCAGACCTCCGTTAGTTACAGGATACGTGAACAAAACATGCCGGGCTTTTCTGAGACAACCAGACGAGTATTAAAAGAATTAGTAAGAATCATTCAAAGTGACCAAGCCAGCTTTCTAGATTTGGGAAGAAACTTGTTCCATAAAGAAAGTCTTCCATTTTCCCCATCTTTGATTCCTGCTTGCTCCTACATTTCCGAAAGCAAAGACTCGCCACTCAAGTTTTGCCCTTTTGGGGTTGTGATCAAAACCATTTTGACTCAGGGGGTGGTGGTGGAAGGAAACCTCCACTCAACGTTCCCTCTAGTCCCAGGAATGCTGCTGCTTGAGAATCACCTTGTGCCGGCCGGTGGCAAGGGCTTAAGCTCTGGATGTGTAAGCAAGGGAGGTTCAGCACGGTCTCACGGCAAGAGAAGCCAGATGGCAGGGCAGAAGGCTGGAAGGTGACTCTTTGGCCAGGGAAATTCTGGCTTCTTACAAACACTTGAGGGAGGGAGGAGGGAAATGGTGCACAAAGACATCACTGTTCAGAAATACGCTTACTCTGTCTCCTCTGCATAGATATAATCCCTGCACCGGCTTTGCAAGGAGGTTAGCCGCCTTTTCGATTCACCCACCTGGCACGCCTCCTTGAGAAGCCATGTCTGATGGCTTGTGAAACGAGAAGCGTCCAGTCGCTCTCTCAGTGTCAGGAGCAGCCACAACACAGCCCTAAGTGCAAAGCACTCTTCTAGTGTTGGGGAGAAGCGCTTTACGCTTAGGGCACCTGGTCTCACCAAAAGTCCCCAACTGCCCCTTTAGCCCAGTATGCGCTGAAGCTCCGTGGATGGAAATGCTAGAAACCGCCTCCATCTGGTGGCTCTACTCCCTCCCCCCCCCACACTTGCTGCCATTCCATCTGATCTGTTCTTCTGCACCCCCAGAGTCACCTGCTGGGCCCAGAGAAGGAACCTTATATCTCAGTCCACCCTCTTCCCTCAAGCACACCCCAGAGCCCCTTTTCTCCTTCCAGAATCACATCAGGGACAAGTCACAGTTGAGCTAAAACTGGCCTGATCCTTACCAAGAGCAAAACAAGTTGGCGGCCCTGGAGGAGAAGGCCAGCGAAGCGAGGAATAGCCCCAGGAAGCTGGAGCGACCCCAGTCCTCTCGGCCACCATTGGGGGAAACAGGGGAGAAGCATGGCTTGACTCGTCCAACTCACCTCGCTGCCCATGGTCCTTCCAAAAGCGCTGGCAGTAAAGGACAGAGACCGTCAGCAGCACCAACGCCAGGATGACCAGGGCACTGCTGGTCAGCACCCCGAGGGGCAGGTCAGTGGCGGGCGCCGGAGGGCTTTCCACTTTCACCAGTCTCATTTTAGAACGGCCTGCAGAAACATCAGGGGAAGGAGATGTAGGAAGGACACAAGGGAGTCATGTCCCTTTGAGGGCCACGAGGCTGCATCCCACCCCCGTGGACCCTTTCACAAGTCATACTCCCCAGCCCACCCCCCTCATCTGAGCCAGTGGGTGGTTAAGAGGGTCAGGCTAGGATTCAGGAGACTTGGGCTTAAATCCTTGTTTGGTCATGGAAACACACGGAGGGAGCAGCCACTCACAGCCCCCCAGCCTGATCTACCTCACAAGGTCGTTGTCAGCGGAAAATAGAGAGGAGAAGAGCCATGTCTGCCACCTGGAGCTCACTGGAGGAATGGCACGATAACAATGCAGTAAATACACCAAGCACTAGCTGAGTGCAAAGGTTGTGCTCTTCTCTTCCTTCACTCTTTCCATCCCCAGGGTTGGTAAATCTGCCCCACTTTTTGCCTTCTAAATAGCAGGACCTCCTGAAGGAAAGGGGTCTTGTCCTGAGACCTTTCAGACCAACCTGCCCCCCACTCCCCCCCCCGCCATAAGTTCTCTGTTAAGTAGAATAAGAAATAGGTGGGCACCATGGCTCCGCTCGGAGAGAGTGAGAAAAAGACCAAAGTTTAAGAGAAACCTTATTAACAGGCAGGCAGAGTGGATGCCCTAAAAGGTACAGCAGGATATCACAGCTTACAAGACAGAGCCTGATGCAGGCCTCAGTCTCTAAAAATACTGGGGAATTCATCGGGAACTCCAATTTAATAAGAAATTAGCTGCGTCCGAATGGAGCTGTGAGCTACAGAACTAGTTTCTAGCCCCGATAGCAAAACATGGACGTCACACACGGTCAATCATCCTGTGATCCATGTTGATAAGAAATTAGCTGCGTCCGAATGGAGCTGGGAGCGACGCACTGAACTAGTTTCTAGCCCCGATAGGTAGCTGGTCAAAGCAAAACATGGGCGTCACACACGGCGAATAATCCTGTGATCCGTGTTGACCCCCACAGAACTAACTATTCAGGGATGAAGTAAGTTGCAAACTAGCCGTGATCCTCTGGACAAGCCACTCTTGGGGGGAGCCCCCCGCACGCACGTCCCCCAACCCGGCACCTACATTGCAGCTCAGAAGAGGGCGTCTGCTTGGTGCAGGGCACGCATTCTAGGTCCTGGAGGCCTCTGATCTGCGTTTTACTGTAGAAACTGCCAAGAGGAAGATAAGGAATGAAAAGGAGTTGGAGAGAGATTATTTAGCCATGAGTCTGAGATGGGCCACAACAGCCATCCAGCTCAAGATTCAACTCCTGTGGCCTTCGCATTTTCCTCACGTAGGCGTCTTGCTTCCCTTCACACAAGAGAACAAGAAGAGCTAAAGCATACACCGAAATTATATCCCTTCTTTCCAATGTTCTGTGCAAAATGAAGTGTGATGGGGCTGCCTTGCTTGTGCCTGAATTTATTTCTCCAGGGCACTGTTGTTCTCTCCCTTCATCTCTTTATGGTCAATTTCAGGGCTCCAGGCCCAGGTCAGGTTCAAAGGGGGAGAGAGGGGCTCAACCATCTGAAACTGACTAACCTAAGAGTCTGAAACTGACCAGAATAACAAAGAGTTACAACAAGATGTGGAAGACAACACTTCAGGCACCACCCGCACAGGAGGAAATTGGCAAGTGCCTCAGAATCCCATCCATGACCTTTCACCCCGCATCACGTCACTTTCAGTGAAGTGTACACATTGAACATCCGCCAGCTGCGTTCATATAGGACTCATGCCCCCCCCAAAAACCCCACAAGTTTTATTCACCAAAGTGCATCCTCAAGATCTAAGATGTGGATCGGGGGCCCTGCTTTTGAGCCCCTCCTCTGCCCTTCTTACACCTGTGACCTTTGCCAGACAACACTTGCATCTGACCTGGCAGCTCCTAGGAGATTCCACCCAGGATTTGCACCTACCCCGGGAGACACTCTCCGCAGGCTGCGTCGGTGGTGGCGGTGCAGTTGGACTTCTGGGTCCGGTTGATGAGCGCGCACCAGAGGCAGGGCTTGCAGCCGTGGTGACCCCACTGGGCCTTGAACCTCCTTGGGTGGCATGGCACGCACTGTGCCTGACTCCCTTCGCCGTAGCCACATTCCTACAAGAGACCCCACATGCTCTGTTCACACACACACACACTTGTTTAAACGTATTGGCCCCATAAGGGTAGAGGCTCCTATAAGGCTCAGGACCCTGACGATCCTCTCAGGAGCCCTGCTTATTATCTGGTCACCTTGGAAAGCTCCAGTCCCGGGCCACACTCCTTGCAAGGCTGGCACTGGCCATGCTCATCCAGGTACTCATTCTCTCGGCAGTCCGTTGGGTTGGCCAACAGCTGTGGCACCTGGAGAAGGAGGGAGGGAGGGAGGGAGGGGACAGGACAGCTTGCTAAATGGGTAGCCTCTTCCAGGGAGGGACACAGCACAGCCCAAATATGCGCCTGGCCTGTTTGCGTAGCCCCTCCCTCACTAATTTTCTCAGAGAAGCAGCAAAACACAAAACAAGCCAAATTCTTTAGACTCCTGGAACAGCCACCCTGGGTTGAACGCTGCTTTTCAGATGCCTCCTGGAAGCCTTCAAGCTTCATTTTGTTGTTGACATGCAGCAGCTGCCCACCCCTCCTCTCCTGGAGGTCTCACCACGCATTGGGTCTGCCTGCCGTGAACTGATCCCCTCATGCCTTCCACCACCAGGCCTGCGACTCTGAGGGTTCTGAGTGCCACTGCAGCCACACCGAATCCCACCCTCTCTCTACAGCCTCCCAACCCCAGAAAGGGTGCTTACCTCAGTAACAACCGTCAGCAGAAGCATCAGGGCAGGTTCTTGCATCCTGTTAATTCATCCCCAGCTCTGCCGTTCATGAGAAGAAAACTGGCACATTGCCGGCTACGCGACGGCCACCTTGTGAATTTTGATCCTTGGAGTCCAAATCCTGCTGAAAGAAAGAAAGAAAAATATGATTAAGAGCTTGCACAGTGTGTCCTGGCAGGTCTTGCAGGAAGCTGTCCTAGAAGGAAGGGGCCACCCACATCTGCTACTTTCGGTCCAGCGTCTTCCCCACTGAGCCAGTGACTTTACTGGACTGTACAAAGTCAAGCCAGCCTCCAACTAAGGTGGAAGCAAAGGCAGAACAGCAGGTCGTGGAGTAACACAAATCAGAGTTAAGTCATACTGGAGACTTAGCTTGGACTCAGGGTGTTTCCCCCCAATGTCCCTGGGACCCAGGAGCGCTTGGCTGTCCCACCCCCCTGCCGTGGCGCAGTCTGTGTCTCCAGTTGCCAGTGCCAACCTTCCTGCCACCCTCCCCCCCGCCCCGGTCCCGTCCCCTGCCCTCCTTCCAGGATCGGACCCCTCCTCTTCAAAGCGAGGCTGCTTCTCCCCCGGTGACCGGCTGGAGGCTCGCCCGACGGGGCGCCCCTGCGAACCCGGGCTTGCC